TGAAAAGACACTGGAGCAACTAGAAGCAGCAAGATGGTGGCTCAATATGAGAGAAGATATAAAACACTTTTTCTATAACTGCTTACACTGCGTGGCAAACAACCCAGATGTGTAGGTTATAAAAGGACCATTGGTGCACCAACCTATTCAAGAACTTTCGCATCAAATACAAATTGATTATATAGAACTTTCCCACAGTAAAAAAAGGATTTAAATATTGCCTTGCTCTGTAGAAAAAAGCCATGTCTTTTATATATTATTAAAAAAAAGCAAAAAGGGGAACCATTTGCAGATCTCTTAGGGGGGCTGCAGTTAATGAAATGCAGAAAGCCTATTAACACACCAACCACAACCCTGTAGAAATACTGGCTCCAAGAAGGTTTGAGTAACTGCTGGACACTTTCAGTGATAAGCTGTGACTTGGTCTGATTTAAGGCAAGTCAGCAGAATCTGATGTTAAAAAATCTGCTATTTAAAGCTGCTTCTACTGTTTTTAAGTTTTCAAGAAAGCCAGTACCTGCTTCGGGGATCTCACTGCTAAGGAATGACAGCCAAGTAGTTGGGACTAGAGAGGAACAGCAGTAGGCAGTTTTTATACAAGTTAGCTTAGTTCAGTGGAAACAGAACTGAGGACTTAACAAGGACAGGGAAGAGGGTTAATAAATTCATTTTAATCTAAAAGAGGCAAAGCACCAGAACACTACTGGGAGCATTTACTGTAGCCGTGTCATGGGAATCACTGATAATACAGACTATTGGGAATTTTCCTGTACTGAGAATTGTGCGGGATCCACGTATGGCATTATGCTTATAAATGCAACACTGATGTGGGAGCATATAGCTTCAGTACTTCAACCAAACAGAAGGGGTTGGGGGATGGAGTTTGTGGTTAATAAGTAAAATACTTTTCAAGATGCAAAAGGATTTCTCCTCTCCCTAACTAGCAAAAGATTGTTTCAAAAGTACTCGAAAGACCAGATAAAACTAGCTCTGTAGTAACCAGACTTGTCAAGGATGAGTACTGGAAGTTTGTCCACTGCTATTGAGACAGACACCGAAATCCAGGAGGTAGCTGGAGTGTCCTTATAAGAGTAGTCCAGGGAGACTGAGTCACAAAGGGCAGTGATATAGACTATTTGGGACCAGATCTCCACCGATGTCAGCCGGCGTGGAAATCAGTAAAGCTCCCCCAGTTTATACCAGCTGAAGTTTTGGCCTTTGACTTAATCGTTTAGAAAGTAGATCTTACTTTCTCCCTGCGTACCTGGCATTCTGTGGGTAAAATGAAGCAAAAGCTTCCAGGCAAAAATGCACTGCTTTTATTGGAAGTGGCAGCAATGCTGGAACTTATGAGCACAATTTGACAAGGAGCAACTTTTGTTGACTTTAGTGGGAGTTGAGGGTGCCCAGCACCCAGCAGGATGGGACAGTGTCTCTACAGCACAGTGCTGCAGCAAAGTCAACAAAGGGCTTCTTGAAGACAAGCCAGGCTCCAGCTGAAACCAGCAGTGCATTTAGCAAATGTATAGCAGAACCTCACATTAATTCACACTAATGAGGTAGAGACCAGTGATTTGGGGAGAACTGAATTTTGTGCAATGAGGAGAAAGCAAACAGACCTACAGGTGTGGGGGAGAGGAATCCCCACTGCATGCCCCAGACTTCTTGGTTAATAAACAGGCTGAGTGTCATTTATCATAAAACTTCAGAGCACATTTGCAATGGGCTGTAGACTCTTTTGTCCATGGAAATCTAATGTGAGGCCACTATAATATTTTAGGCATCTTCCCCACCCCTGGGGCTTTGGCTTGGTGAGGAAGAGCAGTCTTGTGGGGTTCTGAGCCCTTCTTGATAGAAGGTGTTGTGCCTTAGCATGTGCTTCCATGCACTGCTGTCCAGGACAAGGTCCATGGCTGCACGTTACCCTGACTGCTGTTGGATCTGACCACCCCTGACTCCTCCACCTTCTAATGTGCCTCTCTGGGGCAGGAGTCGGGGACAGTAGTCAGATGCCTGACCCAGGCAGTCTCAATTCTGTAAGTAATACACTGCATTTCCAGCTTTGCCCATGTCTGCCACCTCCTCCTGGAATCAATATATTTTAGTGCACAGGCCCAAGGGATTGGGACTCGTACAGTCAGCAGAGCCTCTTCAGAATGGGCTGGGCACTCTGGCTATTATCCATTGGCTGTGGGATCAGGGTTGTGCATAAGGACTTTGCTGGATCAGGGTTGGCACGCTCAATACCATTCAGGATCATGATTGATGGCTGCTGTCCACTTCCACCTGGTAAACTATGCTATGAAAATGTTATTGTGTTGTAACAGAGGCTCATTTTAACCATCCGTAATTCAATCAGTAATACAGGTCTAATGCCATGAATGGAATGGGTCTAATCTAATCTTCAGATAAAAGAACGTTTGTTTTAAACCAACTCAATCCACATTAGTTCAAAGACTAGTAAATACTGTTCTCTCTTTTTAGTATTAAAATGAAGCCAAATAGTCATCTTGATTACATTTATTTTAAAATATTCATCCTATTATGCACTCTATTGAGTTTTAATCTACATCCATAATGGGAATACGGATGCCGCTGTAATTTTAACTTAATTTTTTTTAATTGCTGGGGATGGGAGGTGGAGAAAGGTCAAGACTTGCACTCAGGAAAGATGGAAAAAATCCTGGCCTCATGAAGAGAGAGCTCTTTCAGGGAATAGCATCATTTATAATAGTCATTATATATTCTGATCTCTTAGAAATTTAAGTTGCGGCTATAACAAGATTCCTTCTCTGTAAACACAGTACTGCTTTTCAGACTCTTTTCAGTTCAGGCATCGCTTAATATTCTATATATGAGTGAGTAAGAAGCTTACAATATTTCATTCTATCTGTCTTTATCTACAGCCCCAATGTGTGCGCTGTGCAGAAGCTTATTGGAACAAACAGGAAATACTTCACAAACTGCAAACAGTGGTACCAGAGGAAAATCTGTGGCAAATCAACGTAAGTACTTGAGAGGCATCCAGAAATCTCAGTAAAAAGGTGGTATTATGGGTCCATGGATTGTATAGTGTTCTTTTGAGAGAGAAGCAGCCGTTTTTAAACACATTGGCCATCACGGTTTCCAGCATATGGCCTCTTGCTGTATATACCTTTAAGATCTGTTTCATTACAAACTCTGTTAGCCGCATTCTGATGGCTTTTTGAACAATTTAGTTTTAGGGAAAGGGCATTTATACCTATCAGATGTATTGATACCTTTTTAATTGGGCTGCCTTTCTGGGCACAGACTAATTTATCACGAGATGAGCGGCCGAGCCATAGATCAGTAACCTTTGTAGTGAGGACTTAAGCGATGCCCTTCTGCACTTAAATTCATTTGCCCCTTGATGAACAAACATGAAGGTGCTTCTCTCTCTCATGCCTGAAGAATTGATTTATTATGTATTTGCTTCTGAATTAATATTTGCTCCTTGGTGGTTGTTTTTTTTCCTAGCTGTAAAATGAGGGTCCATCCTGAATCACTTGGAGTTGTTAAGGATGGAAAGCCAAAGAGGAATGAGTCATTAAAGAATTGAGATTTTTTTTTATCCTTACCGAGCTCTCAGTGCTGTAATGAAGTATGGATCAGATGTTTCCTAGTAACTAACTTTGCCTTTTCCTCCCCCCAACTGTTTTTCTATAAAGAAGCAGTGCAGAGCTGGTGGATATTAGAGGCACTTCCTTGTGGTTTTGTGGAAGGGGAAATTAGCACAGGGAGCAGGGGAGGGGGAAAATGTCAGTTTTAAGCCAAAGTTTTCAGATGACTCCTCCAGGAAAATTCATTAGGCTTTCAGATCCAACCTACACCCAAACCTGCAAACAATAATATGTAAGTAGCTATTGCACAAAATGGTGTGGGTAGCCAGCTTCCGCACATTCTTCTGAAAAGTGCAGTCTGCACACGAGTTATAACGTGTGACCCAGCTGGCTGGCAGACTTGATGAAGTCTGTCTGTCTTTCAAGAGACATCGCCTTTGTGAGGTCATGCAACCTCTCTGAATGTCATAATGGGGCCTGAGCTGCACCTCTCAAAAGCGTGTGAAGCTGTGCCCATCGCAATTTTATTGGAGCTAGTTCTCTGTTTTCCCATGCCAAGACTGAATCAAGATTTCCATGCAAATTTGACATAAATGAAAGCATTAGCAATTTCATTTTGATTGAGATCATGTGTAGAAAAATCATTTCTTCAATGGAACTGACATCAGAAGATCATCCAGATGTTTTTCAGGACATTTGGGAAAGTATTTAACAAGCTTTATCCAGTCCGGCATTGAATCAGGCCTATTACAATAATCTTTCTCTTGAGCTGAGATGAAATGAACTCTGTTTCCTGGCTAAGCAGCAAACTGAGAAGTCTTTCACTGTTTTTACCTGAAGGGACTATCTGGATTTTAAGTTGGCTGCTAAAGAAAACACTCAAGTGGCTCAACTGCATGTGTAGAGCTTCATGTTTAGTCCCCTGTGTTTCTTGTTTGTATAATGAAGAGGTAGGAAAAACAGAAACCACCACTCTTTATGGTTTCTGGTCTTTCAGCGCATTACCTCTAAATGAATGCATTCCCTAGTCTTCTACATGAAGTTAAAACTGCAGAAGTATTGTATGATGTTATTGAGCATATACAGTAATAATGCAAGGTTGTCCTAAGCAAAAATGTTGACTACGAGAAAATGCTAAAATACAAAATCTACCTGCCACCTCAAATCAGGGAGAATGAGCGGGGATTCATAATGTTGCAGCATCTCACAAGGGCATGAGGGCTTTTGTGAAACAAACTCTAGCTAGATTGGTACCTGGCAGCCTGTTCCAGAGCCTTGAGTTAGGAGCCTGCACTGCACATACAGTGCCCGGGGAGACTTGGGCATCTTTCACCCCTGATCCATTTTGCCCCAGTGGAATGGAGCCGAAGTGCAGGAGAGATGTTCCTCCATATGTTGGAGTGGTCTAAAAACCTGTTTCTGAGAAGCTGTCCCAGGACAGCTATCTATTAAAGATACTGCAGCCTGGGGCTAGGTCACTTTTTTCCAGCTAAGGTGTGTGGGGACCATGAGTTCCTCCCCAGGCCAGCCCTGTATCCCTCTCCTCCTTCCTGCCACACACACTGGACCACCTCTTGTCAAGGTGCCTGGGGATGTGTGGGTTGGTGGATTTCTATGGGGATACACTAGTGAAGACAAAATTTATCTGTCTGTAAAAACCAAACCCCACTTCTACTTAATTCCCCTTCTCATTTTTCTGCATAATAAATATCATGTTCTCAGTGAAAAGTGCCTGGAAAACATACTGGATTATGTCTGTAGGATGCATATACCTGGGATATGGACCTCCCTCTCTAGACAAGTTGATTTAGTCATTTGAAGGTTGAAATAAGGTCACTTTAATCATCATCTCATGTATTGATATGTCTGGGGGAGGCCATGCAAGTTATGGAGTTAAGATCCTCTCTGATTTAGAGAGGGATTTTCCCTGCATGGGAAAGTGGATGAGCTGCTACAGCCCCAGAGGAATACTGACTTCCACTCAGTGTGGTTTAAGCAGGTTTACTTGGTTCCTTGTTGAATGCAGTTGTAAATGACCTGAGTTAGCCACCCCTTGCTCACTCAGTGACTCATCCCATTGATATCAGTAGCCCATGTTAACGGGTTGTAGTGTGCTACATCTAAGTGGCAATATCCATCCCCAAAGGATCACCCCTGCAAATCCATGTAGATGCATGATTGTTTGTGCATCACTTCTTTGTAGAAATGACATTTTCTTTACACCAGTGGTATAGCAGCCGGCTGCTTATGATGGTGAGCATCATGTCAGGCAGGCTTGTATCCTGAATGTCCAGCATCTTGGACCATTCCTGCAGAAAGCTTTAGGGCAATATGCTAGATCTGATGAGTGATGATAGAAACTTCAACACATGCATCAAAATGTGACTCTAGCCCTCTTATCTGTGGTTTTTGGTGTTCTGACCCATCCAAAAGAATTGGATTACATTATTTGGAAGAAATTAGATGAAGGGTTTATGTGCATGCCATCACTGCGTTGTTTGATGATGAAGAAGTAGAATTAGATGGTTGGCAAAAAGTTTGACTTCACTTTGATTTAATGAGCATTAAAACAAGTTCTTTGTTTTGGTAATTAACTACTTTTCCACTGTTGGTTATATAGTCTTTCCAAGGGCAAAAGGGTATTTATTTAATATATTCCCATACCTCTGTGTTTATATTTCCATGAATCCCACGCAAACTATCCTCATGAAAGTGCTTTTTTAAAATGATAAATATAATTCAACTCCAGATTTTTATCTTAAGGACAAAGAGATAACTTGGCTAACTTTGCATTTAAGCCTTTGAAATAATTGCTAGTGGCATTATATTTGTCCTTTAACACTTTCCTGTCTTCCTGAGCTAAATTAACATTCTCTTTTTGTCTGATGTGCTTTTCTTAGTTCAGAAAAAAAACCCCAAGTCTCTGGCATTCCCTTTATAAAACAAACCAGATGGGTTTTATTACAGGAAATTATTACAAATAGATCTTTATTCAGTAATGTATGCTTACACTTATTTTTATTACCTTGAAAAATGCACTTAAAATTAAATTTTAGGAACATAGTGGCAGAACAATGACTTGGAGGGAGTGGGGGTCGAGGAGGAATAGGGTAGCTCACTGTGCATGGTATGGGCTATTTTACGGAACAAGGCATTTTGAAACCCAAATCTGACTTAATAACTATAAAGATTTTACTTGAAATCACTCAACGAGGAGGTCAGGAAATCGTGGTGAGAAACCATTGCACAGTGCATGACAAATGCTCTTTGTATGAGGGCATTCTGACAGGCTTGCTTACTTAACTTGCATAGTTGGCATCCACCTTGCAGAGATGCAATGATCTGTAACCAACATCATAGACAGAGACTGTATTTGGCGGATTCGAGGGTTTTCAAGTAGAATACCAAGTAGAGTACCACTAGCCTGCTCAGTAAGTTAGGAGTGGATTTAACGTTGCAAACTGTATGCCATTGGCCATATAAGAACAAAACTTGGCTAAATGCTTACAGTCTTTGCAGTCTCATGTGGGTTCATGGGGCAGTATGTATATTCTGGGTAAATTCTGCCTCCAGCTTGAATGAGCTTGCAAAATATAAAAGCAATAGATGATTTTTGGTGAGGTTTTGAACAAACAGAAGGCACCAAATACAGGACCGTGTTCTGCCCTCTGTTACATCCATGCAATTTGATCTACTTTGACAGTACAGCTACCAATAACCAGTGCATAAATTAGCCCCATGCATATTTTTTCCCCACTCTTGGCCAGTGTCTCCCTGTCTCTTTATTGTATATTATGATATCCAACTCTCCTGAAAGACCTCACATAGTCTCTTTCCCAGTGGTATGGTAAATGTTATGTTCTGCTCAGAGGATAGCCACCTCAAAAGGAGAGACATGATGTAGATCCCATTAGATATGTGGTCCTGCAGAGGATACTGGCTCACAACCAGAGAATGTGGCTGCCTTAATTAAATTACCATGTCCTAGCCAGGAGATCTCTCAGGCGTTTGAAAACACAGCTGAATCAAGGTGGAAGCCAGTTACCTCATCACACTGAGCTGCGGAGAGGTTTTGGGAAGCTCTTGCCATCTCCCAAAAGCCCTCAGTAATGTGGTGTGCTGGCTGGGTGAGACTTTTGTGAACCATGAGGGAGAGCCTGGGGTTGTTTTCAGGTCTACCAATAAAAGATCAGAGATTATTGGGCCAAATTCACCCTGAGGGTAATTTCACTGGGACTGTTGGAGTTACGCTGGCAGTGGGCTTATTTATTGCCTTTTAAAATATGCTTACATGGCAAGCTCTATGCATACGTTTAGAATAAAGACTTCTTAACAACCAGAGTGAGTTCATTCCCTCGTCTGAATGACTCTACAGCCTCTAGGCTCTCTCTGCTCCTTGTCTTGAAGGGAAAAGCATGAGGAAGCTGCTGATCCTTGCTGCATCCTCTGACCAACATCTCCCAGCCAAGACCTTCTATCCAATACAACCCTCCATGCCAGCCTGCTGCACCTGGAGATGTAAATCCAGGGCCTGTTTAGTGAGGCCCACCAGCTAATTTCACTTGTTCACTGGGGACTTACCCACATGCCTCCCAGGTGGCCACTATTTTACCCATCACCATTTCATACATCAGAATCATCCTCCTGAAGCCAACAGAAAGCTAGTTGAAGGCTCTGGAAACAAGGTGCCTTTTCACACCACTGAACAATTGGGCAGATCCCTCCTGTATTGACTTAAGCATCCAAGTGGCATGTGCTAAAATGAATTAGTGATCCATCAGAGAGGTCACCATGGCACTGATGAGCACCCTGGGAGATCTGAGACTGATGCATACATGGCTACAGCCAGTTCCGTACCGGTGAGATATATCCAGCTTTTTCTTTTGCCAGCTGATACAGAGCTGTGGCAAAGAGGATGTAGCTCTTGGCTACCAGCACAAAGCCCCCAGCAGGCTTTCAATTGCCGTGGGCTTTCTGCAGTCTTGTAAACCCTGGAGTGAGTTAAAACCCCGTTCTGCAAGCTGTGTACACTCACTTCCTGATCCGTTAGTCACAGCTCATTAATCTCCGATCAATCCATAAATAAGCCTTTTAAAGGCAACGTCAGAACTCAAGAACTATTTATGCTGAACTATGGACTGATTTCTCTTTAATCAGTGCCTCGTCTTTGATTACACTTCTGGATCAAGGAGCAGTCTTTAGACTGGATTTAATTTCTTTGGTGGAAAAAAAAAAGGAGAAATTGGGGGTGGGGGCAGGGGATTGTATGTTTCTAATGAACATGAGAAAATAAGGTAGCTAAGAAAAGTGGAACAGCAGGGTGTTAAGATCTCCAGTAGTCAAAAGAAGGGATTGCTTTAGGCAAACTCTTTCCCACATGGAATATATAATGTCTAGACAATCAGTCTGGGTTTGCTTTGTAATTCTGTTAGGAAGCCATGACATACAATTTATTTGCTTCTGTCACAGAAGCACAGGTATTTGTTTCACTCACTGACTCTTAATTACCCTGAAGAATTCTGTTTAAACCCAAGGCATTCCCACTGCTTGTGAACTGCTCAAATGCTGACAAATACCCAAAGGCTCTGGGTTTTTCCTTCTTTTAAACTAAGCCCAGTAAAACACAGCTCTTGGGGTCTCCAATCCCCTTCTTTTCAAACAAAGTTTAAAAAAAAAAGAGAAGAAGAAGAGAGCATGCAGTTTTAGAGGACTTTCTGGTTTTATTCATGGTTTTGACACCAAGCTCAAACTGTTTTGCCCCTTTTTTAGTAGTTGTAAAGGTAGTGGTAAAGCAAACCTCAGTGCAAAAAAAAGCAATAACTTCTGTTTTGGTTTTTTCCCTATGGGAACCAATCTGAAAACAAAGCGTCTGCCTTTTATTGACTTCTTAAATTGTAATTTATGTTACATGAACTGGGTCCATTCCTCAGTTGATGAAAATTTCCATAAATTAGTGGAACTACCGGGATTGAGACTGGGTCGGGGTCTATCACACTGTCTTTTTACAGTGGAGCAGGGTAGTTGAATTGAATTGATCATTAGTGGATCAATGGATAGATGCAACAGTTCTATTGGTATGGAATTATGCAGTTAGAAGATATTTTGATAAACTGCTCCTATAATATTGTAAGTGGGGTGGAAAAGTAAGTCTAAACCTATATCAGTCAGGGTCCTAGTGTGGTATTAGCAGGCAAATATAAGTTAATTCAGAACAGCTCTGTTTATTTCAAAGGAGCAAGTGCCTTTCCCTTTCAAAATGGTTTAGAGTTCTGTCTATCAGCAGCCTGGAAGTATATAATGTACCAGTGGCTTAGTACTTCTTCCAAGGGTATGTCTGTGCAGAAGTTTATGAAGGCCATGACCAAATGAACTTTAAATTAGCTAAATCCAACCAGAAAATACTCCAGCATTTAGCCCATCCTGAGTTCCTTGCTACTGCAGCTACACTGCCAACACCACTTGAGCTAGGCTGGGTAAGACTACACAAACTGCATTTGGTCCTGTGTACACCCTGAACACTGCACTAAATAGTATGGGCGTTTCATTTGCAAGCAGCAGTTATTTATGTGGTAGGTTTGCCACTTCCAAAGATTATTTTGGTCTGTTAGTGCAATGTGTATAAGATGTTAGAGATGCTGCTTCTCACCTACTATAAAAAATATGGTTGGCAAACTAATCAGCTGTGCTAGTTAATGAGTCCCAAAGCTTGATGGGAAAAGTCTGGTTCAGTTTGTGATACAGAGACAAGCTGAGAGTTTTTCCCAACAAGAGCTGGGCTGGCAGTGATCAAATGAAAGAAAACATTATGCTGCTTTGTTAAGCTTAACACTGGGGATTGACCAGGAGTTATCCAAACAGCGATTAAATGTGGTATACAAACCCAGGAGATCCAAAATAGCTTTCATGGTGTGCTAAAGCAAGCTGGCACTTGCAGCTTTATTTCTTTCCAACCAATACAAGGGACTATGAGCAAATGTTATCTGAGAAATAGTAGTGTGACCCAAAGCCACACCAAGTAATTACGACCTACACAATTCAATAAAAGGAGCTTTTTCAAGAATGTTGCATAATAACAAATAGTGTGAATCAACTCATGGTCTTTCTGCACAGCCTGTAGAATTTGGCTTTTGGTATTGTGGAAGGGAAATGCAGTCTGAATATATAGATGCCCCCACTTCCCACAGCATGGAAGGCATCTCTGATGTGGCATTCAGTGGTTCAGACTGCACTGGGTTGTGCTCACTTTTGAAGTAGGATATCATGTGGGCTGCACAGCAATAGGCTTTCAGGGGTTGACATGAGTAAGGAGTGAAGCAGGGTTGTTTTGATGATATTTTTAATTGGATCAACGGTATAGTTGGGAGAAATGTTAGAAAAGCTTTTGGGCACCAGGTGCCCTTTTCTTAGGTCACTCTGTGGAGGAAGCAAAGTGAATCGATCAGCTCTAGAGGTGAAAATATATGGATGTTTAATCTGTGTTCTTTAGAGGGCATTGACTTTCATTCTCAGGAAAAGAAACAAATGCACAATTAACCAGCATGGCCCTGCAGGATGGGAAGCATTCTTCTGACTCAGCAGAAGATCAGCCAACACCTGCATACTTGTTATACCATCCTGGTTTCCCTTTGTACTCCCATTATTGTGGCCCAGCAGGTGACTGAAACTGATGAGAGTTCTCCACAAAAGAAGGAATGTTGTCAATTTCAGTGTCCTCTGAGGTTGAGGGTGGGAGACCAGATGGATTTGTACAGTGTGAATGTGTATGCCTGCAACATGTGGACACACACATCTGGGATGCAAACTAAGCACAATTCAGCTTTCAGCCTGGGACAAGCCAAACCCACATCTATTCAACTGAAACATAATTGCTCGGTTCCAACGGGACAAACTGCTGACCTGTTCTACTGCGGGCACTGGCTGACATGCCAAAGGTCAGCAATGGAAACTAGTCTCCCACTTCTGTTCCTGGGTGTACCAATTAGCAACTTTGCTAAAATACTGCACTAGGGGAAAGGTAGACAAGGTTCTTTGTGTAAATCTGATATCTTTTATTAGACCAACTCAAACAGTTGGAAAAATTCTTCTTTGCAAGCTTTCGTGTATAAATACCCTACCACTAGGGGAAAGACCGTCTCAGGCTGCTTGCACAAGGATTAGGTGCTATGGATGCTCCAGTATATTTTCCATGTTGCTTTCCTCTCTCCAGGAAAAACTGGCAGTCAGATGTGGCCAGTAGTTAAAATCTGGGTGCCTCAGACTTTTAATTCCTGAAAAAATGACCCATCTTGGCCATTGCATTTGAGTCCCATGTTGGTTCTGGACATACAATTATAAAAAATAAAATAAATGTTTTACTTTTGCTAGAATTGTGAGTCAGTCACTTTCCAAGCCTATATGCTGGCGCTTGAAATTTGATTTCAGTCTTTTGTTTGGATTTGAATATGCTCTCAAAGGGAACCTGATTTTTGGTATTTTATTTTCTTTTTACAATGCAAAGGGATTGAGACAACTGGAACTTTCAAGGAGATAAAATATAGCTAGTTGTTTTAATTCTAAGCTCACTTATTAGTTTTATAACTCAGTACATATAAGCTGTTGAAAATATAGAAAAAGACATGTAGAGTGAAAAACTCATTGTCCAATCTTCGGTGTCTGTTTTCTATTGCAGAGTGATCAGTTATGAGTGCTGCCCTGGATATGAAAAAGTTCCTGGAGAAAAAGGCTGTCCAGCTGGTAAAATATGTTTTATATTTATTTAGGCATTTAAATTCTACAGCTATCCAGAGCAGATAATTGCTCTGATTCGTGGGAATTGTGGGTGATACTGTATACTCAATTGTGTGAAGAAAAAAGACTTATCCAGTAGAAAACTAAATGATATCATCTCAAATGAGCTTCGACACCTGCAGAGTTTTGACAGAAATGTTCTTTTCACTTAAAAATATATTGAAGGTAATTAATCTAAGTTAAGCCTGGTATAGATATTAGGAGCAGGTTGAGTAGCACTACTGGAAATCTGATACAAAACTGTCTGTCGTAACACACCGATCTTCTGGCTCGTTCTCATTTTTCATTATGGCAAGCCATAAGTCTTAGAAAAGTACATCTGCTTGAAAAAGACAGCTCAGTGACTACAAAGAAAAGAAGGGGAAAATCCATCGCATTACAGCAAAAAAGAAATGTTCTGTTTCTTCCAAATTTGATGTCCCTATCTGAGCCTTTTCCTCCTGAGGAAGTTGTTGACATCTCCACTGGTGCAAGCTCCATTGCGATTAAGGGTGTGGTGCTACTTTACACCAGTGAAGAATCTGTCAATATGTAATTTGGCATGACCTGAATGCAAACAAGAGCTAGCTCTGGATAAGGGCAGGCCTAGGTATTCATCTGTAGTCCCTGTTGGAGCCATGCTCATCTAGGTGGATGTTCCAGTTGCTCAAAGTCTTGCAACCTGTTTGCTATTGGGGTGCCATCAGCTGTGCCCTGAAAATGGGCAGCCATTGCCCTAAGTGGATAGCATTTACAGGGTGTTGGAGGGTGTGTGGATTCAGTATATTCCAATGGCAGCCTCTATCTGGATGGCTGTCTTGGAGTGAGGAGACTGGAGCTTCCCCTCATCTAGTGCAACCCCAAGGAAAGGCTACACTAGGAGCAGGGAGGTGTTCCCTGCACACGGAGAGCTAGATCATGCCTAGTTTATGTCTCTTGAACTAATTAACTGAAATTCATCTGCTCTGCTGAAAGGCATGTCAACAGTACTGCAGCAAGTTGGCCGTGTTAACTGGAAGTGCCACAGGTGGCTTCTGGTTCCAGACATCTATGGAGCATCCTGGATTTTGTTACCTAAAAGTCAGTTGCATTCCATGGGCAGGAAGTCCCTTCCTCTCCTACCCCCAACCACAAGCCCCAGTCCTGGCCTTTGTCATTCCGGGTTTGTTTTCAGACACCAAGGCTGAGTTTGGGGTTCTGTGGCACTTTCCACCATTAATAGAGAAGCAGGTTACTTATAACAACGGATATGGGGATTGCAGCCTAAAAATAATCTGGACCCTGTGTTGCTAATTGTAAACTTCTAGGAAAGAAATGTGAAAACCCAGTGTCAAATGAAAAATCAAGTGAAACCTATAAAAATATCTTTGTTCAGTTCTGGCATTTCTTTCCTTAATTATCTGGGGCTAGATTCTGATTTTTGTATGAAGCCAAAGTAAGTCCATTTCAATCCATGGTGATGCTGTTGGCTCTGGATATATGGTGTAGTTACTGAGATTAAAATCTGCCCCTGTTTTAAGTCAGCAGTGTGATAAATTGCTGTTCTAATTCTAACAAATATATGGCTGAGTTCACTGGCATGTTTCATTTCCAGACATTTACATTTTTTTGCCAGCAGCTCTGTTTTAATTCACTCCTGTGCAGTATAGTATGAATCACTGTGCTAGAAATAAAATATTTTCTTCTTTCAGCTTTACCACTTTCAAACATCTATGAAACTCTGGGGCTTGTGGGATCCTCTACCACACAGCTGTATTCTGACCGCTCGAACCTGAGACCAGAAATCGAAGCACCTGGAAGCTTTACCATCTTTGCTCCAAGCAATTTGGCCTGGGCTTCTTTGCCTGCTGTAAGATTAAATTCACTATTCTTCTATTGCTTTGCTTCTTTATTTTTCTTTATTTAATATTCTGAGTGGTAGGGACTGAGGTTCACTGAATGGCTAGTCCCAATGGAGGCAAGGCAGGTTCCAACACAGGCATTGCAAGGCATTGCTTCCAACATAGGCATTACTATACTATAGTCCATCAAGTCCAGTATTGACTAGTACTTAGTTCTTGAGAGTAAGTTTAAGAGCCCCAGGGTAGACAGTTGGGGGTCAATTTGCTCCCATATTAGGACTCTTTTGATCTTTGCTAGAGATTCACTTAAGACCTGAATCAAGAAATCAAATATCCTTTCTACAATTTTCTTTTTGTGGCTCATTACTTGATAACTTGTTTATTCCTGATATCCATAAAACGTCCAGTGCCTTTTTTGAATCTTATTAAATTCTTGGCCTTCCACAGTTGAATTTGGACATAGTATTTCTTGGCTTCAAACTTTCCACTTCTTTCTCTTTAATTAACCCCGCTGCCAGACCCCATCAGCTTTACTTTGCTTCGATCTATAGAAATGGGAAAGAATTCAAAATCCTGTGCCCTATTTGCTGAGATGGCTTTAAACAGATGCATGCATTGAAGATCAAGAATTGTATTTTCATTATATGCATCTACTCTGCGTAGCACATGGATATTTCTGATTTGTTATTAGGACCAACTGTAGGTACTGCTATCATAGACATGATGACAGCAATTAACAAAAGCTTTGCCTTGATACAAGGCTCTGGTTAGTCATTCATAAAAGGCATAGCTCTGTAACTTCCACAGATGGTGTTACCTAATCTGTGCAGCTTTCATTTAAACATAGAAACCTGACAGGTTCTTAGAGTATCAGCTCCTATTTAGAATAAAGGAGTTTCCTCAGTAAACTTTTATGAACACCTGGCATTTGAAAAATGCCATAATTAGGCTTCCATCTATATGAGGCATCACTGAAATGCATTTGTATGCTGGCAGTTCCTTTGCCAAATCCATAATCCTGATGCTAGTTACTCTCTTTACATTGAGTCTCAGAATAATTAGTCTGATTTTGCTTACATTTAGGAAACTTTGGATTCCTTGGTCAGCAACGTCAACATTGAGTTGTTAAATGCTCTTCGCTACCACATGGTGAATAGACGAGTCCTCACAGATGACCTGAAACATGGAACATCTCTCCCTTCAATGTACCAGAATCTTTCCTTGCAGGTCCACCATTATCCTAATGGAGTAAGTAAATTACTTGGTAAAGTCTTGATAAATGTCTAGAGACCAGCTCCCCAACTGGAGGATCTGGTCTATTTCCATTTTTGCAACTTTTTTTGGTAATTTTGTAATTTTATTATAAAATTAGGGTAAAATATTGATGATAAACATGAAGAAAAGGGTCTGATGCAAAAAGGTGCTGAATCTGCCTTGCTCTTGTTGACATAAGTGAGAGTTGAAGCTACTCCTATGTTACAGGATTTGGCTTAAATAGTCAGTGTTACAATCTATGGTAATTTAGGGCTTGATTCTTTCCTGTCCATGAGCTGTAGCTGGTGAGGTGAGGGTGTGTGTGTGTGTGAAGAAGCTAGTTCTAAATAGAATATAAAAGCTCTGTTACACGTAATATAAATAGGGTAATGAGATATATCTCATCATTGTATGTATGTGTGTACATACATAAACAGGTAATTATATACATTACATACTAGCAAATTGCCTGTCAAGAATGATAGGTGTGTGGGGGGTGTGGTTGCTGCGCAGGGACAGAGGCCTGTGTCCGCCCCCCTCCCCGACTGGGGCCGCTCCCCACCTCTCCCCTGCCACTTTGGGCTGGGGCTGGGGCCAGGGCCGCTCCCGCCACCCCCCACCGCTTTGCTGGGGCAGGGGCCAGGGCCAGGGCCATTCCCTCTTCTCCTCTGCTGATCTGGGCTGAGGCCAGGCCCGGGGCCGGGGCCGGGGCCGGGGCCAGAGCCAGGCTGGTTGTTTCAGACAACCAATCAGAGTGTGAATAAAGCGTTACGGCCAGACAGAGTAAGGCTTTTATAATATTAGAATATGTATAGTGTGTGTGTGTATATGTATGTGATGTGTGTTTTGTTTATGTATTATATATAGATAGATATATTTAATTTCTCTTAGTGCTAATGCAGTCTGATTGCGCTTCCTCCACAGATTGTAACAGTTAACTGTGCCAGGCTGTTGAAAGCTGATCATCAAGCCACCAATGGAGTGGTTCACCTCATAGATAAAGTCATCGCTACCACAACCAACAACATCCAGCAAATTGTTGAAATTGAGGAAAGCCTTGAAACTCTTCGGGTGAGTTCACCCTGGAAATCCTGGATGTGATCATTAAGGTTTTTGTTAATGGTGTTCCCTAAACTTCAGTGTGATGGAGGCACCTAAAGCCTTGTCCATGTTAAAAGATGTTGGCAAAATGTGTATACTAATGTAGGCTAATCCTGTTTGGGAAGAGTAATAATCTATATCAGTGTAACTGTGTATCCATACTGGGGCTTTTGGCGGTATGACTATGTTGGGAAAAAAAATCATACCCTTTATATGACATACCTCATCTTTTGGAATTACTGGGAGCCTCTCCATTGATTTCTGCAGGTAGGTGGTCATAAACACCTTTCTAAATCTGGCCTTTTGTCACTGTCTTGGTGTGAGAACATGGTTGCCCCTCTCTTTGTTCTTGGTGAGGGTATGCTAGCCTCTCTTCCCACCACCTTTTTGTTTCTTTAAAGGCTGCTGTAGCTGCTTCAGGTCTTAATAACTTGCTGGAGAGCAATGGCCAGTTCACACTCTTAGCTCCAACCAATGAGGCCTTTGAGAAGATCCCACAAGAAACATTGAACAGAATCCTTGGGGACCCAGAGGCTCTGAGAGGTAAATCATTGTTTGCCAAGTGTGTTAAAAGGTAGAAAGTATTTTGTTTTTCCAGGAGGACTTAATAGAACTGGACTGAACTAACCCTTGGTATACCCTAACCTAGGCTCTAATAACTCATTTCCACTCCTTGTCTCTAGAAGTCTACAGGCTGCACCAAACCTGCATATGTGTGTTAGGTGGGTGCAGGAGTAGTTGCGGGGGGGAAGATTGGAAACAGTCCCATTCTCCAGAACTTCCAGTTGATTTTCAGGAGAATAAAATCAGGAACCTTCATAGTAATTGCTTTGGTCACTTTTGGAGACCCAGCCTTAGTCAAAGAAGGATCAAGGCAACTGAGAAGCTAGTATTGCCTTACCTGTCCAAGCACCACTGTGCATCATTGGACTGGGAACTCTGCTGTGTAGCATTTACACTGCACAGGTGTCAGTCTCCAAACACCCATCTGCATGCCTCTGCTGTGGAGTGGCATTTGAGCATAAGGGATACTTTGCCTCCACTTAGGATGAAGCAGGACTTGGATGATCATATCAAAGCTAATGTACTTCTGTTTTGCTGGAAAATGGAGGTTTCCTCTACTACAAGCACCTAGGCAGATTTTATAGGAAGTAAAATTATGGGCTACAGTCTGTCTGCCTTGCCCATGTGATCAGTTCCACAGATGTTCATTCATCTGCCTGGTCATATGGATTGCTCCTTGGGTTCAGTCAAAGGACTCAAGGATAGGAGAGCCTCAGGTGGAAGTCACAGTAGGCCTAGAGCTGTTATAATTTATGCTTGCTGGTGATGGTCCTCTAGGAACCATTATACAACCTGGAATTAAATGGTATCCCATACCTAGCACATCTTTAATGAAGAGGTTATGGTGCAGAGCCTGCTTGGCTGGGAATCATTTGGTACTCTGAGACAAGTTTACATGCCCTTTGGGCTAGTGGAGCAGCACTAAGGGGACTTCGTAGCAATCAACTCTAGTAGAGAAATCAAGTGTCTCTGACCAAAGCCTAATCTGTCTAACTTTGAAGAAAATTCACTGCAGTCAGTCCAGCTCTTCTGGATTAACATTCGCACAGATGTCAGTATGAAATCCCATATTTCTTTGTCAATATTTGAGATTTGGCTACATTAAACTGCCTCTTTGAAGACTTCAAGTCAAGAATGGCTGGTTTCAAATCAAGAGGGGCTTCAAATGAGGCTGGTTTCTACTAAATGTAATTGTCTTCTTCTGCAGCTTGCACAGTAAATATGCAACTGCCAACTAATGAGGGCAGCTTCCACTGAAAACAGATGTTAAATGTCTTAGCTGCTACATGAACAGTGATGTGCAACTCAAGGATCTTAGATCAACTACATCTTTTTTTTCTAAAATAGAAAATAATAATAATAGTAGTCCTATTTAGGTGGTATTTTATGTAAAAACCAAAGGGACTGTAAGCTGCTCCTTTGGGGCAATTGCATTGGTTTTAATCTGTAGGCTGTAAATCATTGTGTATTTGAAGCAGGTCTTTGTCCCTGGAGCTATGGTATCAAGCCATATAACTGGCCAAACTAACATGCTTTCTCTCTTGTAGATCTCTTGAACCATCATATATTGAAGTCAGCTATGTGTGCTGAGGCCATTATTGCTGGCTTGGCAATGGAGACTCTGGAAGGCACCACATTGGAAGTAGGCTGTAGTGGGGAGGAGCTCACTTTGAATGGAAGGCCTATCATTGCTAACAAGGATGTTGTGGCAACCAATGGTGTTGTGCATTTTGTTAATGAGCTGCTAATCCCAGATGCAGGTAAAAAGATACATCTGTGTTTTATGCACATCTTTCTACCCTGTGTTTAGAAAATCACCTGATTGAGGAGAGGGTTAGTTATTCTGCAGCAGATTTTAACTGAGCACAACAAGAATGCGGGTAAAAGCAAGAATGTGGTTGGCGTGAGCAAGTATTTGTGCATGCAGATTGGATAGTTAAGTACCAAACACCCAGATTTGCATGTGTAAGCACAGGTTCTTCAGGCATCTGCAGGGAAGTATAGAAGCAACTTGTCATTCATGCTTTCATCATGCTCAACTCATCCATCTTTGGAAACCTAGCTTTTAATAGAATATTATATTACTGCAGTTTAACACAGTATTCAAAGTCCTAAGATATAGTAATGAAGGGTTCATTAGGAATAATTAAATAGATCTGATAGAAGAGAACCAAGGTTTTATTTTCAGTCAAAAAGTTCCAACCTGTGTGCTATGGAATCAATTTCTTGGAACAGATACATTAGCTTTCCAGCAATATGAATAGCTTATTAGCAGGTACTTCTAATAGCGAAGAGTGTCACTCATGTTGCAGTAACTTGTTATGTGATTTTTTTTTTTTTCAGCGAAAACTTTGTTTGAGTTGGGTCAAGAATCTGAGGTTACAACATCTATTGACCTTTTCAGACAAGCCGGTCTCAGTTCTCACCTGACTGGAAATGAGCGTTTGACGCTCCTTGCCCCTATAAACTCTGCATTCAAAGGTAAAACTTCAGCAATATTTTATTTGTTCCATTGGTGACGAGCACAGACTCGCTTCTTAGAGGAACTGGGTCTGCAGAGCAGAATATTACTGCTGTTTCAAGCAGTGACTTTTTTTTTTTTTTTCCTTCAATGCATGTCCCTCTCAAATGGCTTCCATTATGAGGCCTTATTGTACTTTGGATATCCTAATTAGTACTTGGATCCTTCTTACTGGCTCAGTCATTGAAGTAAAATGAATCATTGGGTCTTGATGTACTTTTTGCTACAGATGGGATTCCTCGTGTTGACAACAATATGAAAAATTTGCTTCGGGATCACATTGTTAAAGACCAGCTTTCCTCTAAGTATCTTTACCATGGACAGAAGCTGGAAACTCTGGGTGGGAAGCAGCTGAGAGTTTTTGTGTACCGTAACGTAAGTCCCTATACATATCTGTCCTCATTGGCTACAATATTGAAGCACTAAAAGATGAATTGCTCTAAAAGTGGTCTTTGTAAATGGCATCATAGAGTTCTGGGTTTACAGTCTCACTCATTTCACAGCAGAGGTGAAATCCTGGCACCATTGTTTTAAGTGAATGGGAGTTCTGTTATTGATTTCAGTTGGACCATTTCAATTCCAAACAACTTGGAACCTGGAAGCTAAGACCTCGTTACACATTATCAACGTTGGGAATAAAAATTCAGCAGGCTGAGGACTGCAGTTACACATATGTAACCCCATAAATTCCTGAGCATCCTTATATTTTTCATTTTCATTAAAAAAACAATTACTGTGTCAGTTAAAATCCCTGTGTTAATTAAAATCTCCTCTCCCTTGAAAGGCTTTTATAATTTCTTTTCTGTGATTTGTATTTGCAGAATCTTTGCATTGAAAACAGCTGCATTGCTGCCCATGATAAGAGGGGAAGGTTTGGCACATTGTTCATCATGGAAAAGATGTTAACCCCACCAATGGGAACAGTGATGGATATGCTAAAAGCAGATAATCGCTTCAGGTAAAACATTATTCTTACTAATGACCACGCAGAAGCCATGGTTCCTATTCCCTGGTGACTATAGTCACTACTACATGGTGTGTGTAAGGGGAAGAAGAAAATCTAAAGGTGTGTCCTTTTCTTAACTTATAAAAAGCAAAGTTTGAATGAATCCAAGCCCCAGCTTTTAGTGCCACATGGGTGGATCTACACATGTGCCTCACTGTGGAGCTGACTAATTAGTTCCGCAGTAAAGTGTCACAGTCTACATGTGTGCCTGTATTAGGGCGCAGTAAATGAACTCCACTCCATCAAAATGCATGTGTAGACGGTGACAGGGCCTGGCTGGGGCATGAGGGTGCTAAAGTGCGGGAGTTGCCTGCTGCCTAGCCCTGCACTGTAGCACCCTCATGCCCCAGCAAGCCCCTCTGCCGCCCAACAATGCCACCTAGTGATGCCACCCAAGGCTTTCTGCCAGCCCAGGACTGCTCCACTCTAGTTCAGTGTGCTATAAGGGTCCCAGGAGCAGCTGCAGACACTGCATCCAGGAGCAGCTGGCTCTGGCACAAACTGCACCAGAGTTTATTTCTCCTCACTTGTAGATGCACCCAGTGAGGCAAGAATATTTGTGCTGCCTCCTTGATTTGTCCTTTGCTTCATATTTTCAATGTGAGCTGGGTTGATATCTATCAGCAGACATGCCTATTATTAGGAGTAGTAGTATAGAGATGGTTGGAAGATGATGACCCTATTGTGCATATATTAATACAGTGAGGACCCCATTCAAAGCCCCCTGGAATACTCCCACTGTGAGTTTTGGATTAGGGTTAAATTTATTGACCAACTTTTCAGAACCTGGTATAGCTCTACCATTGTAGCTTCTCTTGAACATCTATGATAAATAGTCACTAGCCAAGCAGTGCAGTTACAGTAAGGATTAAAGTAGGTTTGAACCAATGGCACTGACAAGGTTGTTTTGTGTGTGTGTCTTGTAGTACACTGGTGGCTGCGATCCAATCTGCTGGTCTAACTGAGACATTAAATAGGCCAGGTACCTTCACCGTGTTTGCACCAACAAATGAAGCTTTCCGGGCTATGCCACGTGGGGAACTGAACAAGCTTATGGGTAAATATCTATAGATGTGATCTGCCTTGCAGAACGTTGAACGTGTTTTGAAGGAATGACTGGACCAATGTGTCTTCTGGAACCCGTTCTTTGACCATGTCTGTTGAAAACACTCTACATAAGCAACCTTGATGTGCTCCCACTGAAAGTTCCTGATATATACAGTAGGCTTCAGAAATGGCACTGCATCTTCCAGTGAGGCAGTCACAAAGCCACTGAGAATGGGGGCACACACCACCATGACAGGTCTGCATTCATCTACAATATGCAGTGTACCCACCTCCTTGCTTGGGCTGGGCTCTGCTGATGGTGTAGACAAAGGGGGACAGTGGTACTACAACTGCCTCACCTCTTCGTGGTGTTACTGGTGATGTCCTTGAGATCTCTGGATTTGGCAAAGTATACAAAGAAAGGATCATTGCGCCACTTTTTCATATCTCACTATGCTTCTATGCATAATATGGTCACTTAAAGTAAGTTTTGACAACTGTTGTCTTCAGTGGGCTTTGAATCCAGGCCCCCACAACCAAAATTTTGTCTGAAGATAAAATTTTGTATATTGCTGATATCAAGCATTTTTTATATATAAAGCACATTCTATATTAACAAATATTTATATACCTATATGATAAGAGTGTATACAGAAAAATAAAACAAATCTAGTCATAAGAAAAAACTGATTTTCTGGGCTACCGAAGATCAAGACTGGGAGAGGATCAGTGTGCTGAAAAGCATAGAATTTGAAATTGATATGGAAAAAGTATGAGAAGGTTTACAGCTATCCTCCGTATAAACAGTAGGGTGTTCTCTCTTTTCCAGTTGAGAATGGATGTAGTTTGGAAAATGTCAGGTATTCTAGCGTAATATCTTCTTTGGTCATGAAAGCCTGACCAAATATTGACATCATAATCTACGAAGCATCTGCACCTGGTCGTGGGTGATCCTTTTAAGTGCCCAGACAAGTCATGTATAATATGAGACTGTACATTCATTCTCATGATTAATGTATAAATATTTCTCAACCATTTTGCAGCCACTATGCCCTGCTCCATGGGTGAAATATCCCAGATGTGAGTGCTTTAACTGTTCTTGGTTTTCTAAGCAAATATTTAGCTTTATGGTTCTGAAGGAGAAGTGAATCATGCTGGTGGGGATATGCAGTGTGATCTGACTTACATTGGATGAAAGAAAATTGCAAAACGAGATGCTGTTTTTCTAGATTAAAAATCTGGAAGTCATTTTATGCTAAAAGGTGTCCCGTGTTCTGGCTGATCTAGAGTTTAATCAGTGGCATTTGAATCTCTGAAGGAGAAAACGAGAAGGACTGATGCCCACAGCTGCAAAAATCTCTGACTATCCTAAACAGAGGTTGTAAATAATATACCCAATTTGCTTCTTCTGAGGCCTGATCTGAAGTTTAATGAAATTAGTAGAGAAACTCATGTTGTCTTCACTGGGCTTTGAATCCAGGAAATGCCTGCCCCCGCCACCCATGATCCCAGTGTCTGTGAACTCTGCACTGGTGCCATGAAAATAGTGGCACCCCATCCTATGCCTCAAATACTACAGTGTGGCTGGCTATGAGAAAGTTTGCAGCCCTTTCAAAAGGAATATTAATATAGGCAAAAATGTTGAGATTTGCAATAACAAACAAGGTTTTCCCTATTATATCCCTATTATTATTGTTTGAAACCTGACCATCCTCAGGAAATGAAGCAGATAGCAGAAACAGCTTCAACAAACATTTATTTGGGAGAAAGAGAATGAAAACATAAGATGCGGTGATGGAAACCCTCAGATTGTGATCTCGTCCAGTTTTATAAACAATGCAGAGTTGGGTTGGAAATTGGACTACCGAGTGGAAAAGCAATGCGTTATTAGAAGCAGTACCCATTCCTATGAATGAATTACTGACCCAGTGCATCAGCCTGGTTTAAGAGGACCCTGGTTCTGGACAGTGATCTTTTAAGGCCTGGGTTCATAAACACCCCATGGTACTTTGATACAAATGAGTTAAACCTGGTATCCCAACTAAAGTGGTTGTTGCATGTTTTCTCTCTTGCTTGCTTTGGTACTTTCAGTATTTTATAGGACTGCCCATTTATCATCGTTCTAGAGCCTAGGGAACAAATTATAATGTTGTTCTGGAAATGCTTCCTCTGCCAGGTAATGCTAAAGAACTTTCAAGCATTCTGAAGTACCACATCACAGACGAAATCTTGGTTAGCGGAGCAGTGGGAGCGCTCGTGAGAATGAAGTCTATGCAAGGTGATAAACTTGAAGTCAGCACTGTAAGTATCCCTTGAGGGGAGGAGGGGCAAGGAATTGTTTGTTGGTTCTTTGAGACATATATTTTTTTACCAAGCAAGTGCTTTTAACCAGCTAAGCCACAATGCCCCCCAATAAGTTGCTGTAGAGGTCAGCAGAGACCCAGGAACATGTACCCCACACATTCTCTGACTGCTGCCAAACCAAGACTCAGCTTCCCGGGGCAGTTTGGATTCAGTTATCACAATAGGTTTTTTGAGCTACCCAGTGACCATGGGTTTGTCAGGCTTTACATTTTATTTTCAACAATTGTTTTATGCTCATTTGGATAATAATCAGATGACTTCCAAATGCACCTTCAAGTCCCACTAAATGGTTTGTGCAACAGTCTGGAAATAGGAACCCCTGTACTAGGAACCCCATGGAAAAAAAGCCTGGTTTCTCCCTAGGAGGATAGTTTGAAATGAATTGCTAGAGTTGCTATAATTATAAATAACCCTGAATCATGGGGAAGAAATCAAATGAACAATCTGTTCATTACAAAATCTTCCCTCTAGGATTTTGTTTTTAATTTAATACATTCTGTGTGCACTCTTTTTAACAAAGCAGGATTTATTTCATTAATGAGCTTAATGAAGCAAATTTGGCATCCATTAATGGGAAAATAACTTCTGTAAATCCTAATAATGGATGAACTCCTGCAAAGATGCAAAAGAACCACATTCACAACAAGTTAAATGAAAAAATGTGTGCATGCCGTCAGCTGCTTCAAGTAGGCTAGGTTCTGGGCTTGAAGATCCATGGACCTGGTCTTGATCTGGCTACTTCAGATGAGTTTGCTGCAGTTAGATCCCATTAAAAAAGCAGTTAGATGTCATCCTGATGACCCAAGAGCACTGCTTTCAGGAAAGAGGCAAATATTCTTCTTGTGCCATAGCGCAGAATCCCATCTATCTTGTAGAAGAAGGAGCAAGTTCAGTTCCAGAGGCCACTGTTGGATGACCTGAGGGTACTTCTGCCCTTCTTCTTCTGACTGCAGTAGAACTGAACTAATAAAGTATACTCAAGACTGTGAAAGTCTTGAGAACTCCCCTTTCCTCCCCCTGCCCCAGTCTTCTTTTTTAATGGTGGGAAGGGGATTAACGCTACCTCTTTGGTACACCAAGACAGGTCCCTCTATTTCATCCCTACAAGTTATACCCTGGACTGTATAAACACAGTCTTCATAGCCTTGGGAAAGGGTCAACAGCGCAAAGGAGACCTTGAACTCCAGCCTCCAGCCATGGCAAAAAAAGGAAGGACATGTTTCTTCATAGGAAACCAGGAAGGACGATCCAGTGCAGTGTCACAGTATGAGGCAACAACCTGGGCGTCAGGGAAACCTGACTTCTAACCCAGACTGCCACTTGCTCAAGTTCACTCCCCCCATTTTTTTTCTCCATTTCCTTTCTCTCCATTTTTGTGTCTCAGCTGTTTAACCTGTAAGCTCTTTGGACTACAGACTATCTCTGACAGCACTAGGACAGTGACCCTGAACCTGAGACCTGTAGGCACTACTGTAATACAAAACTAGTTCACTACCACAATACAAAACTAGTCAAGCAATCTGATCCCGTGATCTTTACTTCACTTGGGTTCATCCACCCTACCTGATGTAGTAGGTGTGGACTGCTAATCTCATTCAGCTTCTGCCTTGCTGTTTGGTTTTATAGTCCTTCCTTCAGTGGAGAGTGAATTACAAATACTTACACCTACTGGGTAAATAAATTATGTGACTGGATCTAAGGGGGTTTTCTACATTTATTATAGTCATTTGGTTCAGGCTTTCCTTTTCTTTTCCTGTTTTTTACCTCCTTCCAGAAAAAAGATGTAATTCAAATCAACAAGGAACCCGTTGCTGAAAGCGATATCATGGCCACAAACGGTGTGATTTATGCTGTGAACTCAGTTTTACAACCTCAGGGTAGGTCCATGTTTTAAAAGTGTAAAGCTGCCTGGGTTGCTCACTTGTGGAAAGCACTCTAAGAAATCTGTTTGCAAAGGGAAATAAGATGTCTCTGGTGGCTGGTAGGGTAATGGGTACATGCTGCTGGTTTGTTGAGAAGCAAAATTTGGATGGTTAAAGTGTAGTGAATGGAGCCCACCACTACCACCTTTTTCTGATGTTTACTAAGTGGCTCAGAAGTGTTCTGTGAGATTTGCTTAGCCTCATTCTTTTTACAAAATGAAGTTGCACCTTAAAATGGCACCAAAGATTTTGAATGCACTTCTACCAAATGTGGCATGACAGTTTGAAATTGCTCATTTGGGCCCTAGTTCAGGCCCACACTTACATTTGTTCTCAGTTCAGCAAGCAAAACACATGCCTAGCTTTTAAAGTTGCAAGTAGTCCCAAATGCAACATAACACACAGTTAACTTTAGGCACTTCTTAGGTGAGGTCCTAAGGGGTGTATCAGGACCTTCAGGTATTATATTCTTGCCCTAAAGGATCTAATCCTAGTACAGTCACTCAATTTGGAAAACAGTGTGTGTTGGGGATATCTTGGTATTACTATGACCTCATCTATTTAACCTACAGTAGCCTTGCCAGTGCTCCAGTAAAAAATAGACTTTTATAGTATAGTCAGTCTCATGTAAGCAGTGGTCATGTAAGTTATTTTTGCTGTCTTAGGAATATGGGTGACACACAGTAAACTCTTTAATTTGTTGGTACCTTCATGCTTTCACATGATTTCACACGTGTATTCAGCAGAGGGAAATAGGGGGTATGCATCATATATTGTAATGATGTTGGAACTGTGCCTTTAGCTTCTAGGCCTCAAGAAAGAGGTGATGAGCCTGCAGATCCAGCACTGGAAATCTTCAAACAGGCATCTGCATTATCCAAGGTAAATAATTTAGCTTGCCCATGGTGCACTTCTGAAATTGCCTTGCTGTTACTAACTGTGCATGTTAAATTCAGTTTGGGGTTTATGCCAGTGACGTTGGGTCAGTCCCTAAAGAAGCGGACTCATCTCTTTTGCGTAGATATAAAATAGACAAACCGTTGGTCCTAACACAGGGCACATATAAGTCTGATGTTAGATGTGTGTCCAATTTTACACACGCACACACACACACACACACACACGCAGAATAAATGTCATTGCTATATCTAGATTCCCCCTTTGTTCAGACTCTGTCAGCTACCTTGTGTAAGAAACTTCTCTTCTGCTTTTGTCTGTTATGTACAAGACACTTTTTAGCTACTATATATTTCTCAAAATCA